ACAACAAATGTCAGCCTGGAGATAACATAGTCTCCGAATTAGCATCCTTTACTACCTGGGGAAGTCTTTGAACTGTCTCCCAAGATTCTGCTCAGATTCCTGAGTTTACCTCAGTATCCCCATCCTTAGCTTGAAAACCAAGTAAATACAGGTGCCCAGAGAAGTCATCTTAGCCCCCAGGGAATCTCCAATTGTGTTAGAGGGTTTCGAAGTTCCTGGAGCCCCACAATCACACCATGTGACTCTTATTTGAGCCTTCCCATCCACTCGTTTGGGAGACTGCAGGCCTGATCAGTCCGAAATAACTAAGGGGCTCTATTAACCCACTGTCACCTCATCCTGGCCTCGTGCCCTTCCTGCTTATGGAGCAGCTGCATGTCTGAGGGTGTTACCATGGGGCTCCGCTGGGCACGTTCTTTCCGTCCCTCAAGCTGTCTGTCTCCTCCAGGGTCTGTCTCCTCCAGGGTCGTTCTTCCCCACCGTGGCTGGGTCTCACAGGGTCACATAAGGTCCTCTGGGACTTGCAGCATCATGCCCGGGTTGGTGGGCGGGGGAGAGGACTCTGGCTTCCAGAACGTGGGGGCTTTACTCAGCACAGCCTTGGGCTGCAGGATCCCCAGACCCACCCACCGGCACCCTCCTCCAGGGCACGTGCTGGGAGGCGGTGGTAACAGGGCCACCGCGAGGTGAGAACCGCGGCCTGTACGTGCTGGGAGGGCGGGGACCCGCTGCAGGGGGCGGGGCCACGTCTGTTTGCTGTCTGGGAGCCATGGACACAGCCTGACCCCCTGCGGTTAAGGGTGCAGACTTGGAATGTGCTTCCTGGGAAAGCAGTCCCGGGGGCCCAGGGGGGCTGTGAGCTGGCCTGTGCACTGCCTGGGAAGATCGCCCTGCCTGGGTCTCCGGGAACCCCAGACATCTGCAGGGCCCAGTCGCGTCAGCCAAGGGGTCCAGGGCGGGGCACTGAAGATGCCCTGAGCCCACCCTTCCCAGGGGTGCCACAGTGGGGGTGGGGGCTGGAGGCTGGGCCTCGGAGACCAGGCTGGGGCCGGAGGCACCCGCGGCCCACTGAGGCGGAGCTGTTGGCCCCGCCGCCCCACTCTCCCTATGGGAGGCAGCAGAGGCCGAGGGCTGCCACCGGGCCCAGCACACAGCCCTGAGGGCGGAGGAGCCCTCGCTGTACATCTGCAGCGGGCTCCTCCCCCCCCCCCCCCCCCACCGTCACGCCGCTCCCACCTCCAACCTACGCCAGTCTGGGGCCCCCTGTGGGGCCTCGTTTCTGGAAGCCAGGTCGCTTGCCCCGGCCTTCTCACTCCAGCAGACGAGGAAGGGAGGTCCTGTGTCTGGCCCTCGTCCCCTCAGGATGGGAGGCCAGGGCGGGGAGGGGAGGCTCCTCTCAGCCCCTGCACTGGGGACAGAGACCTGCTCAGGGTGCAGGAGCAGGGCCACGACCTGGCAGGTGCAGGGCACTGTGGTCACAAGTGCCGCAGAGATGGCTGGGTGCCACAGAGGGAGCCTCCCTGAGTGGACACCCTGGGTCCCAGGAGGCACTGGCCACAGAAAAGCCACTTCCCGTCTGGTCATCAGCAGTTTCTGCTTTGCTTTCCCTGCTCTGAATGTGCTGTCTTGTCCCTAAAAAGCAAGAAAGTGAAGTCTTCACCGTGCATTCCTTCTCCATCTGTGTGATAATCATGATTTTTAAAGGTTATCTCTTTTCTAAGGTTATTAACATGAATAATTTAGCAGCCAGGCGTGGTGGCACATGACCATAATGCCAACATTGGGGAGGCTGAGGCAGGAGGATCACTGTGAGTTCAAGGCCAGCCCAGACTATGTAGCAAGACCTTGTCTCCAAAACCTGGTTGAAACCAAACCAAAACAAAAAGCATGAGTAAATTGGAGATTATAAAATAGAAACTTCCGGATACAAACCAGTGTCCTGGTGCTGACCCAAACACCTGCTCGGGTCTAATTACTCGTGATTTAAGGAGATACACAGGTGTGCTGCTCATGGGAAAGAGCACCCAGACTGAGAGGGCACGGTCCCCTGAGCAGGCTGCTTCCGGTCTGGGAAGCCCGGATGTGCGGCCTGAGGAGGAGACACACTCGGGTGAGCTCAGGAAGCGGGGGTGACAGGCGCATCCGGGGTGCCAGGCAGCAGATGGGGTGAAGACTGATGCAGGTGGGTCTGTGAGCCCCACGGCCACGTGCTCACTGGGTGCACCCTGCCCTGGCCAGCCCCCCACCCTGCCCTCCACGCCCCTTGCTGTGGGAATCTCCCCACTCCCGCCTCCCTGGCCCTGCTGTGAGAATCTACGTTGGCACTGGTCGTGGTGGTCTGGGGCTAAGTGGCGACCAGGCTCAGAATGGTCCTGTGGGCCTCACGGGGTGTTCAGCACCCAGCTGTCTCCTGCCTGGGGCCTGGCTGTGTCCCAGGAACTCACTGCCTTTTCCTACACCCGCAGCAGGCCTGGCCATCCCGTGCTCACAGGGCACACAGGTCACCGGGGGCAGGGAACAGGTCCCTCGGTTGGATTTCTGCCCCTGGAGCCCAGCCCGGTGTCCTGGCAGAAAGGGATGAGCCACCGAACAGCCGGCGTGTCTGCGCGGCCCCAGCCCTGTGGGGAGGTGGCCCCCGCAGCACGCGCAGGTGACTGCTCAAGCGTCACTGCTGTGGTGTTTCTGTCTCCTCCCGAGCGCGACCACACACCTGCGCTGCGTGGGCAGAGTAGGGGCAGGGAGAGGGGCTTTGTTGCCTCCAGGGCAGGGAAGGCCTCAGGACAAGGTCAGCAGGGGATGCAGCCTCGCTCAGCAAGGCAGCCGGGGGCAGGGACATCTGTCACCCACTTCCTGTGGGCGCACTCGCTCGTCCGTGAGTTCATCGGTGCGTTCATTCGTCCATGCATTCGCTCATACATGTGTTCACGCATACATGCATTCGTTCATCCGTGCATTGTTCATCCGTGCATTGTTCATCCATGAGTTCATCTATGCATTCATTCATCCATACGTTCATCCATGCATTCATTCATCCATGAGTTCGTTCATCCATGTGTTCGCTCATCCATCTGTTCATACATGCGTTGTTCATCCATGCATTCATTCATCCATGACTTCATCTATGCATTCATTCATCCATATGTTCATTCGTCCATTTGTTCATCCATGCATTCATTCATCCACATGTTCATTCATCCATGTGTTCGCTCATACATGTGTTTGCTCATACATGCATTCGCTCATACATGCATTCATTCATACATGCATTTGCTCATACCTGCATTTGTTCACACATGCATCCGTTCATACATGCGTCGTTCATCCGTACATTCATTCATCCAGGCATTTCTGTCTATGCATTCATTCTCCATTCATCCATCCATGCATTAATTCACCCATGCTTTCATTCATGAGTTCATTCATCCACACATTCATTCGTCTGTTCAGCCACGCGTTCATTCATCATGCGTTCTTTCATCCATACATTCATTCAGTCTCCGTCCATGCATTCATCCATCCATACATTCATTCATCTCTCCATCCATGCATTCATCCATCCATACATTCATT